GGAAAAATTGATTCTGCTGTCATCTTTCGTCATGTCGATCAGTTATGTCAGACTATTTTGATAGGCAGAATAGTATGGAAGGAAAGAAAAGAAGAAAAAGCAGACAATAACAAAACCATTTTATTCACAGGAAAGTATCGACCTTTGTGCTCTTCCGTCACTTTTTCAAATCGTGTGCATTATGATTGACGACGAGTACACATATGAAGTTATCACCACGAGAAACGATGCATCCCTATGTGCTCAGCTAGTTGCTGAAGAATATGTCGTGCATAATCCACTTGCTGCCTTCGATCATATCCCATCCGATTGGTTTTTCAACAACGTTTCATGGCCTTTATTTGCCGATGTAGTCGATGAACAATTATCTTTTCTCGTTCGACATCGTATTTCAGGCGAAATTGTTGGCGCAATTGCAGCTGGTGATCTGTTTTTATTCCATGAGAAACATCCATATGATCCTACTGGTCCTCCTACAAAATTTGGTGCTGGTGATCTATTCGATGAACTAGATCATCTTTTTATTTCTCGAGATTTCGGTCAAGAACTAAAACCCAATCTAGTCTTACAAATAACAATCACAGTAGTTCGTGCTCAACATTCAGGAAAAGGTGTCGCTAGTCGATTGAGTATTGCCATGTGTGAACATGCTCGCAATACTAAAGGATTTGAATATGCATTCGTTCAAGCAGCACATCCAGCAACACAACAACTTTATGTCAATAAAATGAGTGGTCAAATTGTCACGATAGTCGATTCAACAACATGGTTATGGAAAAAGAAAGATGACGGATTGTCACGCCCGTATAAAGACTATAAAGGCGGTTTAATATCAAATATTCTTATCAATCTTAAATCTGATGTGAACAAATAAAGAATGATTGTGCCAGTCTTAATTCGTTCACATAATTTTCTATTGCAGTTGTCAATTTTAGATTTACCATTGTGTTGATACTAGACAATTAAAAAATGAAACTTACTCAGTGATCCCAGGTAGAATACAAAGAAATTCAGATTTTTAATTGTAGTGAAATGCCCATAATATATCTAGTATTGTTGAAATTCTATGTTACATATGCAAGAGGAATTCTTGTGAAACAATGTTTAGTCATTGTGTTTGCAATAAGTATGATTGTACGTTGTTATATCCGTGCTAAAATTCGTCAAACGATATTTCAGACATATCATTGTTTTTTTTCTCCAATTTTCCTGTGTTTAACTGTGGGAAATCCTTCACCGAATCTGAATACTTTCTTGCTGCTCAGTGAAAAACATATTAGATCTTGAGGAGTTTGGAAGAGTCTATTTCTACAATGTACACTAGACATTTGTAATAGAGTGGGTCCGGGCTGCAGTATTGTCAGAGGTGTTGGAGTTGTTGCAATTATCAAAGAAGGTAAATGTATCCAGATACTCGCTTTATCAAGTAGTAGACAGGATTCTTTCATGATGGAATGACACTTGCATATCATTGCAGCATCAAATAATTCAATTTCTTTACCTGACAACACTATTGATTTCAGTGGCTTAATCCTTGTTCAAGTCACTTGTTCCTGAGATTGTATTGTGCAAAAAGTATTTCAAAAAATAGAACACTATTTCTCTCTTGTCTGTTGTTTTCATTGTTGTACAATTCCAAATGTCGCATGCGTTTCTCTCGTTGTTATATTGATCATCTACAAAGGATGGGTGTGGGTGTTCATCAGCTCTTAATCCATACCCACACTCACACCCACACCCATGTCCACTCAAATCAAATGTTCTGTGAGTAATGCGTTAAAAGGGTGTTTTTTAAACCCATGGATTTCGGTTTCACAGTTTTTTTATTTTTCTTCTTCTCATTCGGCTATATGACATAGTTGTCTTTTTGAAAGAATTATTTATGAGTCATCAACTGTGTGTTTCCTCGAATGAAAATTGATTGTCATCATACACACAATCAAAAAGTTTGCTCTGTAGCATGAACAGTGTCTTTTACTGATAAAACGCTTGATAATATTTTGTGACAATGTTGTCAACTCGATCGGCTTGCTCGACACTATTGCAAAAATCATGCGAACAATAGAACGACACTTTCCGTTGAAAGAGCACTCTTTCACTGATTGGCATTTTTCCAATGTAGATAGTCACAGTTGGATAAGCTGTTGATGGTTCACACGTTGACCGAAATATGCTCTTCGAGCTCAAATTGCTTGTTTTGAAGTCTATAAGTCGTGTTTTTTGCGTGTTGCATGTTCCATTACATGTGAGTGTCTTATTTTCAAAGGATGTAGAACAAATTGGTGATGAAGAAGATGATGAAGTGGATAGAGCATCTATTAGAGCTTGTTGCATTCTTGTATAATCTCTCTTGACTAATTTAGGGACAACATTAAGTATAAAAGCTTCTTCACATCGGTCGCCCAACGTACATGAATAGAAGATATGCGTAGTAATTTGAGTTTTGTTTATAGTTGTTGTCTCCTCAACATTGTCATACTTGTCCTTGTTGCTGTCACTAATCGAACGTCGTCGAAAATCGCCTTCATACATCGATCCAAATCGCACTTTAACAATACGAGTCGTATAATCGATACTGATATCGACTTGACAAAGCATTGTTATTATTGTCTTGTTACATTTCTCCGGAAGAAAAAAGGGTAAATCCAGTGATTGTTTAAAATGACAACTATCATGGCAGACATTACGTG